TCCCTGCACACACGAAAAACAAACAAACAAACAACCCATACTACAAATTCCACGATCAGGGAACCAACTAAACCCTACATGGAGAGACTTACTACAATCACCATACTGTTGATGATCTTTATTGACTAAAAACATAAGATTAAAGAAGAATTTGGGGCTTACCATCGATAAAATCGATGGCAGCCCCTATGTTTTACTATAGAGAAATTTTTTAGGGCTTTTTTTTTTTTTTTTTTTTTTCTTTGTTTTTCTGATTTATATCAACTACTTTAACAAGCTTAAACATAATGAAGCAAAGTAACACTTTTTAGAAGTGAATCCAGAATACCAATTCATAGAAACTGTAAGTTAAATAAGTATAAGTATATATTACTCCATCCATTTCATAATGTTAGTCCCATATACTATTTTGTGTATTTCAAAAAGATCTACCCATATTAAATATGTTCCATTTTTAACTTAATTTTTTTTGGAATTAATTGGTTGTGGATTGATGACACGACTCTAAATAAGAAAATCTCTACCTTGAATTATGCAATTATGACTTATGCTTTCCAAAAAAAAATCAAAAAACTTAAATAAGGTAAACTAATTATGATTATTTTGTACTTTAATATTATATTTCAAATATTTTTTTTGATTTTATATGGGACCAACATTATGAAACGAAGGGAGTATTGTATAGGTAATTAAAGATATAGAGAGAATTTATTATTAGTCACATCGTAACAATGTATCCTTTATTTTCTTTTTATTAACATAAAGTTTTTCTTTTTGATTGATAGAAAAACTTTATATTATATCCAATCCCTAGCTAGCAAAAAATAGTAGGGTTTTAACTTAATATCTATACTCTAATCATACAACCCTGGCCTAGAAACAATTGTAATTTTTAGTGTCCCAGACAATTAGAAGGTTGCATAAACCCTATAACTTTTCCATAGGCATTTTCACCTTCACATTCAGGAATCTCATTATGGTAAGAGAGTTTAATATCTTGCAACGTTAATCCTGCACAAGGCTTCTTGGAGCTACATTCAAAGTTCAAGGCCATTTTAGAAGCTGATGTACCGCGAATCCCCTTGTATACGACATTATTAATTTGTATGCCCGATCCCTATCATAGAAATTACATAAAAGAAAATGATTAATAATATACTCTTAAAGGCTGAATTAAACTGAACTAAACTGAAAGAAAATCGAAGGATACCTGGCCAATAGGGCAACTATTATGAGGGCAATAATTTTGATCGATAATAATTGGGTTTTGGACATTATTCATATGGGCCCCCAAGAAAAATATGTCCTTAACTCTTCCATTGACTGGAGTTGAAAAAGTCTTAATTCTCAGCCCATTAGATGTACCTGTGAATGTTACTGACTTCACCATCACATTTTGGACCATTACACCTTCTTCTGATTTTTCACGTCCAAGGCTCCCTATACTGTTGGTCCAAACACCATAATTGTAAAATTAATACCATTATTAGTAACAGATTTTAATTTTATTACAATCTAATTTCACAATACATATAAAAAATTTAAGTGTTTTTTTTTTTTAGAAAGCCACAAGGACGGGTATGAGGTTCGATCTCAAGATCCCTTGACGGAAGAAAAACTCTAATCACTTGAGCTATCCCTCACCCTCATTTAAAAAATTTAAGTTGACATAGTAAAGTATTCGAATGAGCTCGAGTACTCTAGAGACACAAAGATCAAATAAGAGTTAACTATAACGTTTTAATAGTACGTACGTAGAGATCATACCTAATACCGTGGCCTGGTCCACAATGTATGTTTTCAATCCATAAGTTTTGATTATTTGGACCAATTGAAATGCAATCGTCACCCGTCTTAATAGTTGAATCCAATATGGTAACTCCACTTGACAAAGCTATGTGAATGCCATCAGTGTTAGGACTATCAGCATGTGCTGTAATTGTCATCCTTGTTATCTTTATATTTTGGCATGCATTAATCGTGACATGGAACATTTGGCTGTCAATGGATGTCAAACCATCAATGAATATGTTCTTCGAGTTATCAAACCCCAACGTCTACTCCAACAAAAGGGAAACAAAAAACAAGAAGAGGTGTATTAGAAAATACAAAATCAAAGATCTTAACGTACACGTGATATAACATATTAACAGAAAGGTAAAGTTCGTTTTGTATGAGACAACGATCACTATGACATACACATCATGTCTTGAAAGTTTGAGAGGTATCTATTCTATTTTGGGGTGACTACTTAAGTTTTAAGGTACATCTTAATTCCCATTATTATATGTATATGCAAGTTTCAGCTGGTCTAATCCAATGTTTTCTAAGAAATCATTCAAGCAAGTGTGACATTAGGAAAAGAAAAATTTATATATATATAAAAAATACTTCCTACATTATTGGGTCATATTCAAAGATGCTTGTAGTAAGATATCTTCACCATAATATTAAGTTACCAATAATTGACAAGATGCTTACAATAATATACTTATATGAATATTACTAATTACTCTCTATTAAGATTTTTTTTTATAAAAAAAATCGTATCTCAGTGACCATAAATTGAAGTTGCAAACCTAATACTTCGTATCATTAGATTATTAAATCATCATAGGATGTATTGCTTATTATGATATTGATAGTGATACAATTCCTTTGCTAGTTAGTTACATTAACCATTTTCATTGATTGAGTAGATTCGATCTTTACCAATAACATCAAAACAATCTATTCCAACAGGAATGACATATGTACAAAAAATTCATATGATATGCAATGATACTAAAATATTTTATACCTAAAGTTTTGATATTCTTGACTATTAGGATTATTCAATCTATTTTAGTAGTACTATGATAATTGATTACTTAAATTACTTCATTTTCCGGCATAGACTGGGCTTACTAATAAGTTAGGACCATCGTCAGCTTGTACATGTGACACTTAACGTAAATTCGAGTAAACAAAATTATTTAATAAAAACAATGTACAATTTAGAAGTATATAATCTACCCGGCCTCAAACAAATACATTGTAATTAGTTGCTAATAAAGAGTATAACACAAGTTAAGCAAAAATAATGAAGTTACCTTAGCACCATTGGGGCATTGTTGATAAGATGCCTTACAATTCCACAAGTACTTACCCTTAGCATTTAGGACACCACCCTTAATATGAAGGCCATTAATCTTATGAAACATAATCCAATGATGAGTTGTAGCTATCTCTCTATAATCATTAGGAGCAACTAGGGTTCCATCAATTTGGAACACAATTTTTGAGCTCTTACAATTTCCCTCAAATTGCAATGGTTTTAACAAATATTCTCCTTTTGGAACATATAGAATGGATGGATTCGTCGAAGAACAAGCAGCATCCCATGCATTAAGGAATGCTTGTGTTGCATCCGTCTTTCCATCATTTCTTGCACCAAAATTTCTTACATTTATAAATCTTTGTATGGATGAAGATGATGACAACAACGACGACAACAATGATGGTGATAGGGAATTATCGAAGGTCGGTCTCATTCGAAATGCCAAAGAAGGGTGAAGGAAGAAAAAAGGGAGTATTAGAAGGAGAAAGAGGTTGTTACTAGGAGGAGTCATGGTGATGAGCTTAATTCTAAGGGTTTTTTGTGGGTGTAAAGTGAAAATGAAGAGTCAATGAAATGGTTTAATTGGGAGTTCAATGGTTATTAATTTATACTAAGGGCTATTATAATTTATTTATGGAGATTGAAATAGAGTAGTAGAAAGAGTGGTGTATCAAAAATATTTACTCCTAGTAAATCTCAATTAAGGGATATAAAATATTTTAGATCAATTTAGATTGGGTAATATCTTATTTTCTCTTGATATTTGTCCATTTTTAAATCTTCCTAATATGGGTTTGTTTTTAGTTTTTGATGGAAAATATGAATTTGTTAATTATATTTGATCCAAATATGTTGTTTTCTTGAATTTTAATATCTTGTATATTTAATTTGTTTACAAGTTGGTAATCATGCTCTAAAATTGTTAAAAAACAATTCCCCATTTAGATTTTAATTTCTATAGTTACGATTAAAATTCACAGCCTCAAATTAATTTTATTAATTAGGCATCATTCAGTACAATAACAATAGTCCGTACGCACTTCCATATTTACTTCCTCTTTACTAATTAAGTCATGAACTAGTGGCGGTAGCAATAAGTGAAATATTTAAAACTACATTAGATTTCAGTATTGAAATCCCTTTCTTCATTTGTAATGATTTTCTCTACATTTGAAAAATTCTTATTTTCTCGAACAATTAGTAGGCACTTAGCTAGTACATCGGACCATTTCAATAGTCACACTATATATCAACACGACTATATATTGGTAGCTTATGTATGACCTTCTTTTACAATGGTTACATCTAAATAATATATGTTCTCTATTATCTTTATTATAAATTATAATGACACTATTGGTATGAATCTAGACTTAAAATAAACGTAACCAACAGTCAATACGCCCATTCACTTCTGATTGAATGAATTGGTTCTAAAAAAGATCAATACGAATAATCACTTCACATCCACATTAGCTATTAACAACTGAATAATGATTATATTAAAATGATACAAGAATGGCTAAGCTACCAATGATGAAATGATTTTGAAATTATATTCATTAGTCAATACAATTTTTTTGTACAACAATACAAAAAGATAGAATCAATCATCAATACTATATACTAAAAGACACACCAGCAATGACACGTGTTATTTTCTGGTGTGTCCCTTATTTTTATTTTTATTTTTTAAATAATTTTTAGAAAACAAATTTTATACATAAATAAAAAGATATCAAAATAATACATAAATAAAATATTTGACAAATCTTATACATAAAAGAAAAAGATAGCAAAATAATACATAAATAAAATATTTGATATGTATTTCCATAATATATACATTGACAACTATATTTTTTTTTTGAGAAAAATATAAAATTAAGTAAAAAGAAATAAATATTAAATCAGATTTTTAACATAATTGTGCCACAATGTGTGCCAGAATGTGTGACAGAATGTTATGTACTACCTATTACAACAATAATTTTATTTAATATATTACCGTGCATGGCACGGGACATAACCTAGTATACAATATATAAGACGTAGGAAGTACTTATTTATATACATGCGGTGGAAATACATAACTAAATTTGAAGTAGCTAGCCTGAAGAGTGATGACAAACTCTATGGTTAATCGATTTAAAAGACGTACTTTGTGTAATGTGCATGCTCAATCTCATTAGGAGTTAAAAATAATTTTACATTAATTATAATGTGATTTTGGTGTATTATTATACTGAGGTACATAGATAGAGAAAAAATCTCTCCATATTAATTATGGAGTACAATATAACCTTTATGGTACAAATTAAAAGTACTTTATAAAGAATGTAATGTCTGTAGAATCGCATAATACGCTATCAAAATTGGAAGTGATGCCATCATTCCGAAGATCACCCTGCAATATGCCCAAAGAGACAAGACAAAAACAAATAAAGGTCAATAAACGACACCAAAATGTTAATAATTAAGGAGTTCTCTGTACATGATAGATATTGAAAACTCGTTATTACTCCCTCCGTTTCTCTATCTATAATTTTGACAAATTTCTTAGATCATATGAAATGAAATAAACTTACGCAGTACTAAGCACATCCGCATGTAGTCCATATTCTTTGGCATATATGAATGAGGTAATAGATTGTGGCAATGCCGCCTGAAAAACGAAAAACAAAATAGTTATAACACGTAAGATATCTAGTAACACTTAACATGATATACTCTTACATATGTAGCCCCTTCCTCCGAAATTGGTTATAACCCGAACAAAGGTAGTACGAGTAAGCATCTAGTTGCACCATTAAGCATAATATTTTTTTGAGTTTGTCCCACCCAGTTCACCGAATCTTAGCTCCGACTATATTAGGATTTGACCAGGGTTGCCCACCTGGCTTATGGTGGATGAGTCTCTCAACAAGAGTTTTCTGCATTCGGTGAGGCTCGAACTCGAGACCCCCCTTAAGCGATATCAAGCTGTTTACCAATAAGCATGATATACTCGTACTGTTGTACATATATAATCCTTTATTCCTCCGAAATTGGTTATAGCCAGGATAGAGGTAGTACAATTAAACCAATATAATGATATTAAAGCCTTCAACCTTCCGTTTAACCTTTTGGTTGAATTGCTCCTCTAAAAGATTTGTTAAAAATATATACCTGAATAATAGCTATGCGAAGGACATCACCATGCAAACCAACAGCAAGAGCAGCAATAGCCATGGCAGCTGGGCCAGCTACAAACTTCAGTATCATCCCAAATATGGTCAGTTTTGGTCCACACGCGATTAGCTTCTCTTGCAAAGCCATGAACATGCCTACATATTCCCAATATAACGAAAACAATTTATCTCAATACTTCACTTTTGCAGCAGAAAATAGCTAGGTATATGAAATAAGCAAATAGTAGCATATATACTTCTATATATGTATGTAGTTTGCATGCCAAACAACTAAATATACATCACATTTGCTATACATCTGGGTGTACCTTTTCTGGTGTATTGTACGTATACATAAGAATTTGTTGGAGTTGGAGGGAAAGAGTCTAAGAAGGTATTTTTAACATGCGTTTTTTTTGTATGTATTGTGATTACATGTATCTAATTAAGCTTACCCATACTTAACATAGCAGTGCCAGTCCCAGCTTTTGACATAATAAGTATAGATCCATCAACAATGCTTGGTATTTGAAAATTGAACCTACATATAAACATCAATAATATTGACATGTTAATACCCATATTATAATTGATCAACAACATACCTAATTGTATGTAATTGTAAACCGCATAATTATAATTACCTGCAAGCAAAAAGCGCCCAAACAATGCCTACAATGCAAGAATAAGAGTTAGGATTAGCAAGCAATTTCTTCCCAACTACCTTCATCAAAGACCATAATGATGGTCTTTTAACATCCACTAAACCATCATTATTAGTAATTTTTCCTTCCAAATCGTTCTGAGAACTCTCAAGAGAATGAACTTGAGGAGGATCCCTCACTAAACTTGTACTACAATTCATAGTACTAGGAAAATCTGACCTAGATTGACGAAACTCAAGAACAAATAAAAGCACCGTAAGCCAAGCAATAGCTTGAATAACCGAGAATTGAACAACTAAGTCGATACCTAATTGACCGTACATGGCCCCTAGTAAGGGCACCCCAACCACAAGTGAGCTAGTTAGTGTACACAGAGAAAAATTAGTTATCGACCAACAATAACTTCCTTTACTACTACACCTAGCCCAAAGGGCTAACACCGCGACTATGATGACTTTAGATATGCCATCCGCGGCTAGGAACTTATAGTTCCATTTAAAGGGATTACTATGTGCAGTGAAATCTAAGTTGAATAGAGGAAGGGTGAAGTAACAAACGAGTCGGTTTATGGCATCGACTTGATCGGGCTTAAATAGGTGCCACCATTTGACCGAACCATAACCTAAGATTAGGGCTACATAGAGTGGAACCGTGGCTACTATGACCTTATATATATCATCTAAGCTAATCATAATTATTTCTCTAAGAGATGATTTAAAATATGAACGAACCCTTATTAAGACTTTATATTATGTGAGAGTGTTTATTTGTTTGAGTAAAGATCGAGCACTGTTTATGACAAAATCAGTGATCATATTGCTAGCTATTTATATGCATATTCCATAATTAGCATCTCTACTTTAGTCTAAAATCTTTGTATACTAGATGGAAGCCCGTGTGATGCCCGGTTTTTTCATCTAAGATTTTTAATTATTTGATTTATTGTATTTAATAATTTCAGACAAAATTACAAAGGTTTAATTTTAATTTTTTTTTTTACTGTAATTTCTTCAGTGAGCAGACGATTTGCTGCTCTTCTAGTTAGAGAAGGACTTAGACCTACCGATAATAATACAACTTTTCATTATAATTGAATTTATTAAATATAAATAAATTGTAAGTATGATATTTTATTAGTTACCTAAAATCTTTAATGTGAAAAGATAAATTTTTAATTTTTGAAATAATTTAAATCCTAAATAATTATTCATTGTTTATGTTAGTAAAAATAAAATTGATATAATTTAAATATTTACATTTATATAATGTAAAACAATATATTTACTAATAAATGCAAAATTGTTGCGAAATTGAACAAAAAATTGTAATTGTATAAAATCAAATCTATGCATTGGAATTTTTTCATCATCTCCAATAATAACGAAAGCCATCCATATAATAAGTATACAACATCAAATCGTGTGTCATTTGCCTTAGGTTCTTCTTACAATTTTTAAAATTAATTTGAAATAGTTGCATTAAATATATGTATAAAAGCTAAAAAATTAAATTAACTTGAATAGTTGCATCAAATCGAGTACTTTACAAATTAATTTCAACCATATATGCTTGACAATGCTCAACATAAAATTTCTTAGTAACTAAGCTAAGCTAGTCAACAATTAGCTAGCTTCCACATTGTTATATTTAGTCTACAATGTTGTGGAGAATATACATCCATTACATCTTTAATCAAAAGTAGTATGATATGAATTGCATCAATGAGATCAAGACCACTAATTGCAATTAAAATGGGGTTCATCCTGTGTTTATTCATGCATGGAACTTTTATCAAATCAATATAATGACAAAAATCAAGGCATTGGATTAGAACGATTGAATAGTATTTAAAGAAGTAAACTTTTTTTTCAATCAATTTTGGATGAAAGTGTTGAACAAAGCTGGTGTTAATTGAGGCATGAACGTAATCACCCTATAATTAAAAATAAGAAATTAAGTTATTTTAATAACTTGATCAAGCCACTTAAATTACAAATTTTATTTTATTTTTTAATAAAATTAATTAATAAAAAACTAAAGAGGAAAAAAAATATAATAAATGTAAATTAAACAATATATAAAAAAATAAAAAAAATAAATTAAAAAAATACCTCCTCTTCCATTAGGACCATATCCGAACTTTTAAGCTATGTTGTTTACAGAAATTTAGTATGTCTAATAGGCGAGAAACTTGTATTTTGATTTTCCAATATAATCATTTTTGCTCGAATTTAATTCTCTAATTAAATTAGATCTGCATGTAAAAACAAAATTCAGTAAACAAAACATAAACAGATAATCGTTAAGTATCCCAAATAAATACAATGTAAGTACTAATTACAAATATAAATTTATACATAGGATTTTAAAAATTACCCGAACATTAATAACCTAAAACTAACACAAAATTACTAACACAAAATTCGCTTGATGGGGTTTTGTATTGATACAAATATTCTTGGTGTCGTATGATGCGTTAGATGTGCATGTAAAAACAAATTTTAGTAAATAAAATATAAACATATAATCGTTAAGTATCCCAAATTAACACAATGTAAGTAATAATTACAAATACAAATTTAAACATAGGATTTTAGAAATTAAGCTAAAAATTACCCGACTATTGATGACCAAAAACTAACACAAAATTACTAACACAAAATTCACTTGATGGGGTTTTGTATTGATACGAAATTTTGTTTGTGTAGTATGATGTGTCAATTTATAATGGTAGGTATCACAAATTTTGATTTAATTATAATTAACGAACAATTTTTATTTCTTATCATAAATACTATTAAATTTATCTTGTAATGGTAAGTATCAAACTTTATTATAATCATTTATCATTTGAATATTTTTTATTTATTTTATTGGGTTATCATGAAGTCATATTCTCGTTCCATGTATATCTACATGTATGTACTCATAAATTATCATATTATAGTTACGTATTTTTCTTTTTGAATCCACCATATTTTCCCACCATATCATAAATTTAAAAAAATTAATATTTGAACCCACCATATTTCTCCACATACCAAGTTCAGTTACGTGGAGATAATTTTCACCATATCATAAATTTAAAAAAAAAAAAATTAGTATTTGAACCCACCATATTTCTCCACCAAGTACAGTTATGTGGAGATAATTTTTGAATAGTAGGATATTTTCATAATTTGAACCCAATTAAATATCTTTTTGGGGATTTATCTTTTCCTATATTTTTTTGGATTTCTTATACTCGTAGTATTGATTTAATGAATTTATCTTTTCCTACATTTTTACTTTATTTTTTTCCATTAAAATAATTTAATTCGTGGATTATAATCTACGTGGCATTAAAATTTTAGATATATCAAATCTAATTCGTTACTTTTATCTAGATGGCGATATAATTTTTTAATTCAAAAATAAAATACAATTTTTTTCCCTTATTGGTCGAAATAATTATATTTCTTACGTGGCTCTCCGAATGCTCTTAAAAAATGCCTACTTTATATATATATATATATGTATATAATAGATTAGATTAGATTTTTCTTGGGAAATAAGTGTTCAGCTATTAATTAAGTTATAACTTTATAAGAATATAAGGTACATGTTTTAGAAAGTACGTTTTTTTACGGAATTATAAAGAGAATTTAATTATATATATATATATATATATATATATATATATATATATATATATATATATATATATAAAGGCTTAACCATGGCACAGTGATTTTCCATATTAACAAAAAAAACTTTTTATTACAATGAAAATTTACAATAACAAAAAAAAAATTGAATTAAATGAAGCTCAAATTAGGAAGATTTTCATTTTATTTTATTGTACGGAGTATATCTTTATTGAATATCTTTGCTATTTATAAAGGCCAATTACTATTTAAATATTTTTGACATGTATTATTCATTATATTTATAATTCAAGCAAATGATTGAACTTATACGGAGTGTAATTAATGGGAAAATTTGTACTCAAATGGAGAGAATACATACATATATATATATATATATATATATATATATATATATATATATATATATATATATATATATATATATATATATATATATATATATATATGTCAATTTTAATAAGTCAATTGTTAAATATTTCCAATCTTGCCAACATTCACCAATTATTAAATTTTTTTATTGTCTAAATTATTGGCATTCATCATTTTGGAACAGATTGAGAGTAAGGGATAACTCAAGTGGTTAGAGCTCCTCTCCTGGTTTCAGGTGATCATGATCCTGAGATTGATTCTCATCACTCGCTCTTGTGGCTCTCTAAACACCAACAAAAAAAAAAAAAAATCAATTTGAAACAAAGAGAGTAATACAGGTCTATAAAAGTTCTAGAATTATCTTTAAGAATATATATATATATATATATATATATATATATATATATACATATATATATATATATATATATATATATATATATATAAAATTTGTAAATGGTATATGTAAATTATTCCTGATTGGATGATAAAAAAAAAATAAGGGAATGGAATATTATTGGAATGAGGTCCATAAATTATTTTAGTGAACATTATTGTTTAAAGACATGAGTTTGAAGAATTTTGTTTTAACAAATTTACGTTTTGGGTAATGGTGATGGCATAAATTTTTTGACAATGCGAGTGTATCAGTGTATGTGATACTATACCTGACAACTTGGAGCATCATTATGCATGTAAGAATTTATACTCTGAATTATAGATGCTTAATCACTTCAAGTTTTACACAACTTACACTAGTAGTGCCAAATAAAATTTTTGTCCTGTAATAATGTGTGTTGTGACTCTTGTGAGCATGATAAAGCCATGATTATGCAATATGCACCTAGGTAAATTGCGTGACTATATGAGTATTCCACGTTATAAGAGAATATATACCTCATATATGAGGGGAAGTGTAAATATAGAGAGATCGAGATTAATTGATTATTACGTTATAAATTAAGATACTATTAAGTTATAGTAAATATTTATTGTTATCACATGATTGCATAATTGATTCGTGTCATGTCAAGCCATTCTTTGCAAAATGCGTCCAAGCATAGCCGGCCCTGCCCATATCGTACACAAGCTAAGCTCGATCAAGTGTCGATTCTTTTTGGTACATGAGCAAGCCACTTGGATGAGGGATCGATCACGGGGCAAGACCCTAGCTAGATGCTCTTCCTCCTTTAAAACCATAGAAATTAAGGGAATGTTTCTTCGGAAATTATGAGGTAGATAATATGACTTGTGATAAGAAAACACGAATTTTCGAGTGGAGATAAGACATGTCGAAGAAATCTAATCTTCTTTCTAACACTACTAAACATATATACCATTTCCTTGTGTTTCCATTTTCACAGTTTATATTTGATGCTCTTTTTTTCTGTCATCTAAGTTTCTCACCATTAAAATCGCATATTAATGTCCCAACTTTAAGTCTTTGGATACATTGCTTATGCAACCAGCATATTTCTTGACAACTTGTTGGTACTAATTTACCATCTTTAGTCAAAGCACATATACAAGTACAACTCTTAAAGGTATATATAGTTATATATGCTGAAATTATATGTTTTGAGTCATATGAACTTATCGTTCTTTTTACATTATATTTTGTGAAAGAAAAACTTCGTAAAGTTTGGGTGTGTTCTATTCACCTGATTTTCACTTATTAAAACTTATTATACCTTATTACAGGGGTAAAACTTTTTTACTTGTAATTTGAACTTAATTGGGTAACGTAACCCTTATTAGAACTTATTTTTCCTAAACTGAATATAATTGCACTTATGCGAACTTATTAGACCTGAAATAGGTGAAAATAAGATGAATTAAACATGTCCTTATCAATTAAGGCCCTAACCCTTATTCACTCCATCTTATATTTGCCAATGACTGTAACTAATCAATGGTTGACTGTTGTTCTATGAAATTATTGATTTAAATTTATTTATTTATTTATTTTTTTTATTTTTTTTAACTAATTTAATCGATGGCTGTTGTTGTTTTATGAAATTATTGATTTAAACTTTTTTTTTGTAACTAATTTAATCGATGACTGTTGTTGTTCTATGAAATAATTACCGATTTAATTTATATTTTTATATTAATTAAAGCTAATTTATGTAGCACTCATATTATTTTGATTCTATTCTATCCACATCAGTAGCACACATAAAAAATTGGTAAAAACACTAAAACATAAGCATGCAGGTGACTTCCTCTCATTACTTATCTAAATTTGGAAGAAGTAAGGAAAAGTTGTATTCACTTGTTGTAGTCCAATCCTAATCCTAATCCTAATTCCTAAGTATTATTACAGGTGGTGGTTATGTGCAATGTAAACACTTTATGTAACTTCAATAAATACAATATCAATTTCTGTCATCTAAAGCCAAAAATATAAACTTGTCCAAAAGTGTGTAGAAAAATAAGTTGAATAAGACAGAGTAATAAAAAATAAGCATAATTCCCTTACCAATATTCTTATCTGAATATATTCTCTCTAGCATCAAAATTCAAGTTGTACTATGAACCTTTTTTTTTTTTTTTAATACTTACAAATTACCAGAATAAAGAAGACAAAGATTGTAGAGGAACTCCCAATTATCTTAGTCACATCATTTTATTTTTATTTTGTATTGTTGTTGAGAGAAAGACTAATGAGTGTCATAAAAGACAAATAAAGTAAATACGTGATCATAGGTTTAAAGTACTAAGAAATTACCAAATGTCCATGTACAATTTATACACTGATGTTATGTGGCACATGTTCGCTAATGGAGTACTAGTATCTTCGTCCCTAAATAATAGTTGACTCATACAATTTGAATTTAACTTCTACAGTTGTACTCATAAAAAATTATTAGGTACATTGTTATCCTTATATGATAACAAGGCTATTAATTATGCTAGTTCCATTACCTAACAAAAATTAATAAAAAGGTATCCTCTTAAAATTTGTCCAAATTTTATTTCTAAAATTTTCAAAACTTCCTTTTTTTATTCCACCTTCATTTCTCTCTTCACTTTTCAAACTTTCAGGCAAGAAGAACCGATTCTAAATTGAATGGTTCCAAAATTGACATGTGTAGAGTAAGTAGTACCTGAGATTGGGAGTTTTTATATGCAAAAAGACATGATATTAACCATATAAATTTTGCCTACATAATTTTTCCCAAGTTTTTATCAATTTGTTAAAAATAAAACTAGGCTGTTATTTGTTATGCCTTTTAAGGAACACCTAAAAGTTGTTATTGTAGATTGTGGAGCTGTATTTCCAAATTGGTAGATCTTGTTTTGTAACTTTCAGAACTTAGCTTGGATAAATGGATAATACATTAAGGCTTTTTTATGAGGCATTTTTCTCCACCATGCTCTTGTAGTCTTGTCTTTCTTTCTTTCTCACTTTTTTAGCACTTGAAGCTTATCTTACAATTGTTGGATCACTTGGGTGGAATTACATCATAAAAATATAGCATATTGATAAATCAATGGTTGATAGTCTTCATGCTTTATAGTTTGTAATTATGTTATTCCATCCTACTATACATATATTTGTCTATTTTGTATTTAACGATAAAATTATTTTTATATATATTCAGGTGTATGATAGATATACTGCTACGTAGTTAACAACAAATAACAGTACAATGGTATAAGCCCCGCCATGACTATTGTCTTCATATTTTGTCCAAAAAGCTTATATTGAGTCTTGAGAGTTGGCACCATAACATAGAAATATAGAATCACCCTATTTATATTTATGCTTTGACTTGACACTTGAAAGAGACTTTTTGGAAAGAGGCTTATTTATAATTGCATGAGCCTAATCCAATAGCACGTCCAATAGCCCAATCTAAGCTAGAGACCGAGCATGAACCCACATTGCTTTTGCATTATTTGTATGTCTTACATTAACCCTATTATACTACAAATATACCAAATTAATCAATCAATTAATTAACCTATACTAAAAGCAAATCTAAAATGACACTTGTCACAATGTCATTAATTATATTCGCTAAATTTTTATTTACTTTTTGTCAAATTATCTTAGGAAATTTTTAATTCACTACTTGTATAATATTTTCCTACTTTACCAATATATATATATATATACATATATATATATATATATATAAAAGGTAATCTTTCCCTCCCAAATTCAATTAAACAATTTTGTAACAACTTAAAAAAAATTTAGGCAAAATATTATATTAAAAAAGATATGCATAACTTTTAATACACTATAAATTTATACAGAGTGTATATATATCATACGAGTATGTACAACTTAAAGTTTACTACTACACAAAACATTTTTTTTAAAGAATATTGACCTTTGTCGTACTATTTATAAATAGAAAAAAAATTTATAAAAAATTATTGAAATACAAACTTTTATAAAATTTGATAAATCCATGCATTGCACGTGACCATAAGCTAGTGTTATACTAATGTAATATAGTACTAGTATTATTATTAGTCTTCATTCAATGTACATTTTAACTTTTTTATACTCCTGTTATTTTTTTACTACTTAGTACTCATAAAATAAGTAGATACGAAGTACTTCATGTAATTAATATTCAAAATAATGAATTGATACACGTGAAATTCAATAGGAAAATGCAATCACTAGGAAAATCATTACAATGAATTGCAGTAACTCAAGGTTCATAATGCTCAACAACACGGGAGATCGGAATTCCCAAGTTTTTATTCGATTAAAGGTATATAATAAATAAACAAATAAATAATACAAATCTCACCAAGCCTAACGGCAAAACATTCAGCTACAAGAAAGCATGTTCCCGCACTGCTAATCATTCTTTACAACACAAGACTCCCAATGTATAGAGTTGAGATATAGAGTGAAACATGTAACCATACTAGGAACCATTCTAAATGAACACGACGTAGATGCAACTACTAAAATGATTCAGAATCAGAAGACCGTCCCAAAATTTACTGGTTTGTAGAGACAGTTGATGGTGGTGGTGGTCTATTAGTCACGGCATGCATGATCTCCCCATACCCAACAACGCCAACTAAAACATCATCTTCACCCTCAGTTACCCAAACATGGGTTGCCCGGTGAGAGAGCATCTGAGCCATAACAGCAGCCAACGAGCTTGTAGCTCTGCATGTCAAAGGAGCACTTCTTCCTCTATACATACTTCTAGCCCCAGAATTGGGGCTAACAGAGTTTCCGAAAAATCCGATGCTTCTACTGCTAAATCTCCTAAGCCTCATTGAACCACTTCCATTAGTTCCGTTACTGTCTCCTTTGACAGTTGAGTTAACTCCAATATCAGGAACCGACCTTGGCGACATATTATCCTCAACACCCATAACAAACTGCCCGGCTGAGAGATTGGCCAAAGCGTATGCTGCAGCTAAGTAATCACATTTCCATAGTTTACATGCTGATATTTCCCCTATAATTTTATGCTGACCATCAAGAGTAGACTCCACAACTGCAACAGCACTTGGGTCGTGAGGCAGCTTCTTGGTGGCTTCAACAGCTGGGAGGGAGGCCTCAATGGAGGAATAATGAGAACTGATTGCTCCAAGTGAGGAGATGGATGAGAGAGGGATGGGCGCCAGTGCACCCAGGCAACCAATGAGAAAACGGACAACATCTTCTCTAGAGAGACAACAATACTTTGTTTTGCTGATAGTGGCGGTAGATGAGGAAGGGCGATTGAGATTTGCGATGCTACTAGCGTTGCTCCCTGCCTCTATGTTTTTTAGCCATTTTCCATTGTAAAGAATTGAGAACTTCTTGCTCACACCTTTCCATACCACACTCTTTGGCACAAGAAGACGCTTCACACCTTGTTTCATCATTTCCAGTGCATCTATCAATCTTGGCAAAAAAAAAAAATGTCAATGAAAAATATTAGTAAACAAAATAATAATTGGGGCTTTGTTAACAATCCTAATTAGTTTAAAAAGGCCTGTTTTATGTTGGATTATTTTAGCAGTGGGCCTATTTATTCATTTTCACAAATAATTTTACACATAATAATCTTCAGACTTAGGCCTATTTGTTTCTTTATAATTTTATATGGAGCTCAATAATTGAAATAGAAATAATGCAGCAGGTAGCTGACAGAAATTGCCAAACATAACTTCAGATGAAAAAAAAAAAAAAAAAAAAAACCCTTTTAACATTGCATGAATTTCAAGTTATAAGAATATAAGATATACTTATGTGAAAAATATTGCGTACTCCCACTTGATCAAGCAACCTAAACAAGAAAAATGAGTAATAAAAAGAAAACTAAATATATCTCGATTGTTTGGTGCAGCAGCAGAAGCTTATGTAAAAACCAACCATGTCTACTAGAGACATACAAGCAGTCTTAAACAGCTCCAAGAAATTCCACCATATCACACTATAATTTCATACATTGAAACAGGTTCTTTCTTATTTTCTCATCTCCATATTTTGAGGGACACAAAAAGTGGGAAACACTGTCTGTAGATGCTCTTCTGGTATTTTCCAAGAACAAAAAGAGCATCAACCCCACCCCCCATACACACCCCCCCTCCCTCCCCTTATAATTTTTTGACATATGGAGTGAGTACTAACCCAAGAAACTCATTGTGGAGGAAAACTAGATTCAATTATCGAGTGTTGACCCTATAATGGATATAGTCTTCCTAACTACAAATGAGGATGAGGGAGGTGGCTAACTGGACTACAAGTTTCTTGTATAACATATAAAAGTGCATCAAAAGATCATAAAGCTGTCTCTTGGCAAATGCACTTGTGAGTGCAGGTAAAAGGTTTCAACTTTCAAGGCTTCTCTGAGAAATTTCACACACCTATTTTTTCAGATTTTATATTCAGTGTACAGTTGAACTATTCTAGCATGTATGCAACAGCTTCTAACAATTCTATCTATTAAAATTCATCTAGGTCTCCAAAAAAAGGCAGGTCTAAAGTATCACCCTGAGTGGACAAGCAATCAGTTAAGCTGTCAGTCGTGTTTGAATGGAGAGCAGAAGCAACTGTATTCACTTATAAACCAGCTTCCCATACAATAATACATTAAATCCTTCTGAGAGTGATAATGTGACAGACTGGACATAACGCAGATTATCTCATGGTATTTCATTATCTTAACATGACTGCCAACCATCCTAACTTCGGAAATCAATTAAGATAAAAAAGGACCATAAGTTCGATTCAAGGCTTCTAGCAAAGCTGCCATGGGTGTCTACTGCTTAAGTCTCAAAGTACCCCTCTAGAAACTCAACTAAGCCATAAGATTATCCCATTGAAAGATCAAACCAAAAAAAAGTTTCTACTGTGACTCCTCTTTCAAAGTGATCATTGATACCATGAGCTAAAACTTACCATGTACAATGGCTCAAATAGCTTATTGTAATGTGCTGGATTCTAAACAATGGGCAATTTGAAGAAATTTGATCCCTGTTACTATGATTACAATAGTCAATAGACAAAATTTGATTGTCTACACAAGAAGTGCATCAAACATAAGGTTACTCGTACTCAAACAGGATCACAAAGAAGAACATGAACAATCATAAACAAAATGGGGATGACTGTACTGGACTGAGCAATAATGTATGAACTATCTGAAGTTGTATACTTGTATCTCCCAAATTAAAAATGCATCACATGTTATTTGCAAGCCAAAATACCATGCCAATAGTTACAGCAAGATTGGTTACAAATACAACATGAGTTCAACTACGGAATCATCAAAGTTATTGGTTGGAGTGACAACATAGGTAGAGTAAATTCGACTACAAAAATCATGCTCTGCCTAAGCTGCACCGTGATTCCATGACGAATAGAATCAACCCTTTATTATTTTTTGGGATTAGAGTCAGCTAGACAAATACAGATTGTGTCCTGTAGAGTCAGCTAGACAAATGCATGGATTACCTTTTATATATATATAAAAGGTAATCTTTCCCTCCCAAATTCAATTAAACAATTTTGTAACAACTTAAAAAAAATTTAGGCAAAATATTATATTAAAAAAGATATGCATAACTTTTAATACACTATAAATTTATACAGAGTGTATATATATCATACGAGTATGTACAACTTAAAGTTTACTACTACACAAAACATTTTTTTTAAAGAATATTGACCTTTGTCGTACTATTTATAAATAGAAAAAAAATTTATAAAAAATTATTGAAATACAAACTTTTATAAAATTTGATAAATCCATGCATTGCACGTGACCATAAGCTAGTGTTATACTAATGTAATATAGTACTAGTATTATTATTAGTCTTCATTCAATGTACATTTTAACTTTTTTATACTCCTGTTATTTTTTTACTACTTAGTACTCATAAAATAAGTAGATACGAAGTACTTCATGTAATTAATATTCAAAATAATGAATTGATACACGTGAAATTCAATAGGAAAATGCAATCACTAGGAAAATCATTACAATGAATTGCAGTAACTCAAGGTTCATAATGCTCAACAACACGGGAGATCGGAATTCCCAAGTTTTTATTCGATTAAAGGTATATAATAAATAAACAAATAAATAATACAAATCTCACCAAGCCTAACGGCAAAACATTCAGCTACAAGAAAGCATGTTCCCGCACTGCTAATCATTCTTTACAACACAAGACTCCCAATGTATAGAGTTGAGATATAGAGTGAAACATGTAACCATACTAGGAACCATTCTAAATGAACACGACGTAGATGCAACTACTAAAATGATTCAGAATCAGAAGACCGTCCCAAAATTTACTGGTTTGTAGAGACAGTTGATGGTGGTGGTGGTCTATTAGTCACGGCATGCATGATCTCCCCATACCCAACAACGCCAACTAAAACATCATCTTCACCCTCAGTTACCCAAACATGGGTTGCCCGGTGAGAGAGCATCTGAGCCATAACAGCAGCCAACGAGCTTGTAGCTCTGCATGTCAAAGGAGCACTTCTTCCTCTATACATACTTCTAGCCCCAGAATTGGGGCTAACAGAGTTTCCGAAAAATCCGATGCTTCTACTGCTAAATCTCCTAAGCCTCATTGAACCACTTCCATTAGTTCCGTTACTGTCTCCTTTGACAGTTGAGTTAACTCCAATATCAGGAACCGACCTTGGCGACATATTATCCTCAACACCCATAACAAACTGCCCGGCTGAGAGATTGGCCAAAGCGTATGCTGCAGCTAAGTAATCACATTTCCATAGTTTACATGCTGATATTTCCCCTATAATTTTATGCTGACCATCAAGAGTAGACTCCACAACTGCAACAGCACTTGGGTCGTGAGGCAGCTTCTTGGTGGCTTCAACAGCTGGGAGGGAGGCCTCAATGGAGGAATAATGAGAACTGATTGCTCCAAGTGAGGAGATGGATGAGAGAGGGATGGGCGCCAGTGCACCCAGGCAACCAATGAGAAAACGGACAACATCTTCTCTAGAGAGACAACAATACTTTGTTTTGCTGATAGTGGCGGTAGATGAGGAAGGGCGATTGAGATTTGCGATGCTACTAGCGTTGCTCCCTGCCTCTATGTTTTTTAGCCATTTTCCATTGTAAAGAATTGAGAACTTCTTGCTCACACCTTTCCATACCACACTCTTTGGCACAAGAAGACGCTTCACACCTTGTTTCATCATTTCCAGTGCATCTATCAATCTTGGCAAAAAAAAAAATGTCAATGAAAAATATTAGTAAACAAAATAATAATTGGGGCTTTGTTAACAATCCTAATTAGTTTAAAAAGGCCTGTTTTATGTTGGATTATTTTAGCAGTGGGCCTATTTATTCATTTTCACAAATAATTTTACACATAATAATCTTCAGACTTAGGCCTATTTGTTTCTTTATAATTTTATATGGAGCTCAATAATTGAAATAGAAATAATGCAGCAGGTAGCTGACAGAAATTGCCAAACATAACTTCAGATGAAAAAAAAAAAAAAAAAAAAACCCTTTTAACATTGCATGAATTTCAAGTTATAAGAATATAAGATATACTTATGTGAAAAATATTGCGTACTCCCACTTGATCAAGCAACCTAAACAAGAAAAATGAGTAATAAAAAGAAAACTAAATATATCTCGATTGTTTGGTGCAGCAGCAGAAGCTTATGTAAAAACCAACCATGTCTACTAGAGACATACAAGCAGTCTTAAACAGCTCCAAGAAATTCCACCATATCACACTATAATTTCATACATTGAAACAGGTTCTTTCTTATTTTCTCATCTCCATATTTTGAGGGACACAAAAAGTGGGAAACACTGTCTGTAGATGCTCTTCTGGTATTTTCCAAGAACAAAAAGAGCATCAACCCCACCCCCCATACACACCCCCCCTCCCTCCCCTTATAATTTTTTGACATATGGAGTGAGTACTAACCCAAGAAACTCATTGTGGAGGAAAACTAGATTCAATTATCGAGTGTTGACCCTATAATGGATATAGTCTTCCTAACTACAAATGAGGATGAGGGAGGTGGCTAACTGGACTACAAGTTTCTTGTATAACATATAAAAGTGCATCAAAAGATCATAAAGCTGTCTCTTGGCAAATGCACTTGTGAGTGCAGGTAAAAGGTTTCAACTTTCAAGGCTTCTCTGAGAAATTTCACACACCTATTTTTTCAGATTTTATATTCAGTGTACAGTTGAACTATTCTAGCATGTATGCAACAGCTTCTAACAATTCTATCTATTAAAATTCATCTAGGTCTCCAAAAAAAGGCAGGTCTAAAGTATCACCCTGAGTGGACAAGCAATCAGTTAAGCTGTCAGTCGTGTTTGAATGGAGAGCAGAAGCAACTGTATTCACTTATAAACCAGCTTCCCATACAATAATACATTAAATCCTTCTGAGAGTGATAATGTGACAGACTGGACATAACGCAGATTATCTCATGGTATTTCATTATCTTAACATGACTGCCAACCATCCTAACTTCGGAAATCAATTAAGATAAAAAAGGACCATAAGTTCGATTCAAGGCTTCTAGCAAAGCTGCCATGGGTGTCTACTGCTTAAGTCTCAAAGTACCCCTCTAGAAACTCAACTAAGCCATAAGATTATCCCATTGAAAGATCAAACCAAAAAAAAGTTTCTACTGTGACTCCTCTTTCAAAGTGATCATTGATACCATGAGCTAAAACTTACCATGTACAATGGCTCAAATAGCTTATTGTAATGTGCTGGATTCTAAACAATGGGCAATTTGAAGAAATTTGATCCCTGTTACTATGATTACAATAGTCAATAGACAAAATTTGATTGTCTACACAAGAAGTGCATCAAACATAAGGTTACTCGTACTCAAACAGGATCACAAAGAAGAACATGAACAATCATAAACAAAATGGGGATGACTGTACTGGACTGAGCAATAATGTATGAACTATCTGAAGTTGTATACTTGTATCTCCCAAATTAAAAATGCATCACATGTTATTTGCAAGCCAAAATACCATGCCAATAGTTACAGCAAGATTGGTTACAAATACAACATGAGTTCAACTACGGAATCATCAAAGTTATTGGTTGGAGTGACAACATAGGTAGAGTAAATTCGACTACAAAAATCATGCTCTGCCTAAGCTGCACCGTGATTCCATGACGAATAGAATCAACCCTTTATTATTTTTTGGGATTAGAGTCAGCTAGACAAATACAGATTGTGTCCTGTAGTTAATCTGACATTAATATTCCCAATATCACTCAGATTTGACAGATGCATCATTTGTGCTAAAATGATCTACATGGCTAAGGGATCTACATTATATGCAATCCGAGACAATTTAATGGGGTTTAGAAGCAATAGAAGATAAAAAGTAGTTCTACAGAGAGAAGATCAAGAGTAGTTCTATCAACAAGAAAACTAAAAGTAGTATCCTTCTTTCTCTCAATTCTCAGCCAGCGAATCCAGAAACAATAGTACAAGCCATTTGCATGGAATCTAATCCATGATCCAGTTATATTTCTAGCACTTCAAATCAAAACAATAACTGATGTAACTTTTGAAAACGACACTCATATCGACCTTCCCCAATCTTTGTCCCCAAAACTCCAAAAGCCTTGAGTATGACTACAGAGTCCTATAACCCACCCCTCCCCACCATACCTCCCATCCTCAATATAAAAAAAATTGAAATAAACTAGGACTGATCAATAGTATCAAACTGGACTGAAAATAATTCTTACGTACTTGATACATTGATGACACAAATCACATAAACAAAATCAACAAAACCATCCAGGACAAGTAAAACCAGGATCAGATCTAAGGATAGTAAGAACATGACACCTTCATAATATAGATTGTCAACTCAAATGTTTCAAAATTATACTACAGTCAGTATGGAGAAAACCAATCAATCACAATGAAGGTGCATTAAAACAATCAATCACAATAAAACCTTGAAAAACTAAATCAAATAACATCAAAATTCAAACCTTGTAGCAGGATCCACTTCCTTAAGTAGGGAATTATTAGGAACAACAACCTCAGAAACCGGGGTTTTCATAGCTTTCTCCTGATCCTGCAAACACCAATCTTTTGCCAAAAAAGCCACAATATCCAAAGGATTAAGAATACCCACAAATCTTTGTAACCTCATTTCACTATTTTCAGTCAAACCCTTTTGAGGTTTCCTTCTCCAAACCGGAATTCCACCCTCTGTTGATTCTCCAATCGCTTTTATCGCCGCCTCCACCGTCTCCGTCTCCATAAACTCCACCAACTCCGGTTTTGCCACCGTCAGATCACCCACCACATGATAAACCAATACAGAAGCCATCTTTTTGCCCCAATTTTTCACTGATAATTGATTTTTGATGAACTGGGTAAGATTTTTTTAAGGTTCTGAGAAAAAACCAGATTGTAGAATTGCGAAAATTTGGAGGGATTTTGATTGAGGGTTTTGATTTCTTCCTAGAAATTGGGAGAATTGTTAGAATTGTTGATTAATCAATAAATTAATTATTATAAGAGGGAATGGAGGAAGATGAGAAGAAGATGAAGGGCAGTAATAGGAAGAGAGAGAGTTTTGGCCATGGAAGATTGATCACAGAAGGCCATCAACAGACATGGCGAATCTGGAGATTTTGAATTTTTCTCTGACCTAAATTATTTTATTTTACCAGATTATTTCTAGCAATGTCCGAAGAACTGTGTGTTAATTTGTAGAAGAAGATAAATTAGGGGTTTAATAATAAAAAAAGTGGGTCGAAAAACAACAAAATTTAGTGATAGACTTTTCAAGAAGTGGGGTTAGAATTGTTGTTATTTGTTGATGGAGTTTATTGCTCATTTTGATTCACTTTGCAGTTTCATGATTAGTAGTACTCCAGGATCAGATCAGTTTGATTTATAAAATTTAATAAGAGCTTGTGTATACGACGTATTTAGATCGGGTACATAATTATATAATTGTGCGAACTTTTGATAAAGATGTTCCGTAATTATAATTGTGTTAATTAGGTACATAATGCATACTTTGCATTTAATATATTCTTCCTGTGTTATTAAGACGACTTAGAAAATAATGTTTAGTTTAAAGTCGATTGATAGAGAAGTTCCGCATCTTTAATTGTGTTAATAAGAGATGCTCATGTTGTAACTCTATTCTTTCAGTGGCAATTGATAATCTTTCTTGACCTTCCCTTATGGCCATATCCTCGTTAGATGGGTGAACATTGTTCATTCAAACAATCTTTTCTTTCCTACCCAAAACGGCCAAAAGTATAATTGTATAAAGAAGTTAAAAAAAAATTATATAATTCTCAAATCGTGCATTCTTGTCTATCTATCCGCATGTAAGGGAAACCTTGTACAAAAATGGGTTTTATTAGCACAAAGCAACACAAGTGGACGTATGTATTTCAATGGATCCTCCTACTTATTAGGGATATAGTGCGGGTGATTGAGGCTTGTGATGGCCAAGCTAGTCAAGGGGACACAAGCAAACCCAAATCATGAGTTATAAAGGGAATTGAGGAAGATGAGAAGAGGGTGAAGGGCAGTAATAGGGAGACTGAAAGTTTTGGCATTAAAAATTGATCACAGAAGACCACCAACAGACATGACGAATCTAGTGATTTTGATTTTCTCTGACCAAGATTTTGTAATTTGAGATTATTTGATATATTTACTAGCAACGTCCAAAGAAATAGGGTGTTAATTTGTAGAAGAAGATAAAATTAGGGATTAAGAAAAGAGTCAAAAAACAACAAAATTTAGTGGACTTTTCAAGATGTGGGGCTTAGATTTGTTATTTGTTGATGGAGTTTATTGCTCATTTTGATTCAAGTTGTAGTGTCATAATGAGTACAAGATTAGAACGATTTGACTAAAATAATTAAAGAGAGTTCGTGAATATAATTGTTTTTTTTTTCTTTTTTTTATGTTCGTGTATATGAGGTTGTACTCGACTATTCGTATTGCTTCAAATGATATAAGACTCATGAAGTACTGAGGTTGAGTTCTTGGGTATATAAGAATTAAGGAGTACTTTGTATTTAATATATCTCTCTACTCTAAGGCTGAAGACGAAAAAAAAAGAGCAGTACTAGCTATGGAGGGAAATTGATGAAGACGCCATTTTAGCATGAGTAGACTGACTGTGACTCTAAGGCTGAAGGCTAAGGGTGATATATACAGAATAAACAGACCATGTATATAAGTATATTGCTGATGCTTATAGGTTATTCTCACAATATGTTTAAAGGAGCAGTCAAGTATATCTATAATTATCCTGAAACTCATAATGCTTCAGTTCAAAGAGGATGACAAAAGATGAATCAGTCACATAAAAAGTTCTTTCAAGCAGAGAATAGTAGATTCAGAGATTTAGATATCTATCCCAAGATGAATTCGAGGAATCTGTTGGATTGAGGATGGAGTTAATAATCCAGAACAAGTCAACTAGTCACCTATCAAGGAAGAACTTAGGAGTACACCAGACCCCCTTTCAACCACCATTTCTAGCCGTTAAATTGCAGTACCTTCTTGCTGATGGTTAGTAGTCATGAACCTACGCAAGCAGCCAATTGCATTCAGTTTTCAGATTAACTCCTCCAGCCTCGGCTACAAGTCCAGCCTTACACAGAACTTCTGAATTTATTCTGTGTATAAAACTAAGCTACATGTTTAAGTGTGACAATTTGCTAGAGAAATAGCATCAGATCATCAAGTTGAGCATCGTTCAATGCTGTTAATGAGGCGGTTGTATTTTTGAATACTTGTATTAGGCACTATTATGTGATCGATCATCTCCCTGAGGAGTTATATAGCATCTTTAGGCTGATGGTCTTTGCAAAGACCATGTAACAAAATATTATAAATGACAAGATCAGGAACATCACCACTAGTTTGCATCTTACAAAAAAGAGAAAGCGCGATTCTGACTTCTTTGACCTTGCAAAATCCTTTAAGTGTAAGTGATTGCATCTGGAGTTTGCCATTTACTAGACATCTCTTTAAATAGACGCATGGCATCATCCATCCCTCTTTGCTTACAAAATCCATTAATCAAGGAGCAGTAGGTTACAACATTAGGTGCACAACCCTTACTAAGCATAGTGTCCAGAATCTGCAGTGCTTCATCCATCAAACCTTTCTTACAATATCCATCGAACAAGGAGCTATAGGTTACAACATCAGGTGTAAAACCCATATCAAGCATAGTGGCAAAAGTCTGCATTGCTTTATCGATCAAACCCTTCTTACAATATCCATCGATCAAGGAGTTGTAGGTTACAACATTAGGTGCACAACCCTTACTAAGCATAGTATCCAGAATCTGCAGTGCTTCATCCATCAAACCTTTCTTACAATATCCATCAATCAAGGAGCTGTAGGTTACAACATTAGGTGCACAACCCTTACTAAGCATAGTATCCAGAATCTGCAGTGCTTCATCCATCAAACCTTTCTTACAATATCCATCGATCAAGGAGTTGTAGGTTACAACATCAGGTGTACAACCCATATCAAGCATAGTGTCAAAAGTCAGCATTGCTTTATCGATCAAACCTTTCTTACAATATCCATCGATCAAGGAGTTGTAGGTTACAACATTAGGTGTACAACCCGTATCAAGCATAGTGTCAAAAGTCTGCATTGCTTTATCGATCAAGCCTTCCTTACAATATCCATCAATCAAGGAGCTGTAGGTTACAACATTAGGTGTACAACCCGTATCAAGCATAGTGTCAAAAGTCTGCCTTGCTTTACCAATCAAACCATTCTTACAATATCCATCAATCAACGAGTTGTAAGTGACAGTATTTGGAACTTGACAAGAATCGATCATCATATCAAAAACACACTCCACTTCTTTCATCCTCCCTTCTTTACTAAGCCTACCGATTAAAATATTATACGAGTATATATTAGGTGAAATTCCGGCATCAATCATTTCTCGCAATAACCTCCATACCTCATCTCATTGCCCCAACTTACCGTGTCCCCATATTAACAGGTTGTAAGTGGTTACAGTAGGCAAGACACCATCACTGATCATTTCAGAGAATAGTTCCGAAGCCTGAGACAATAGGTTGTCCTTACAAAAGCCATACATAATCATATGATATATTCCAATATCGGGTTTGCAACCCATTAGTCTTCTCATCCTAAGCAACTTCAATGCATCAGCATTTCGCCCGGTTTTAAACAAACACTTAATTAAAGCTCCATAAGTATATAAATCCAGCTGTAAACCCAGATCAATAACTCTGTGAAAAAGCTTAACAGCATCAACACTATTCTTGATTGCACATAATCCATGAATCAAATTGGTGAATGTTACAATGTCAGGCTCATAACCTAGCTTGATGATCTTACCCAGAAGAGAAAACCCCAAATCGACTTGATTTAAGCGGCAATAACACTCAATATTCATGTTCAGAGCACACAAATCAGGCAAAATTTGATCATGCAACAAACACAACTTCTTAAAGAGGGGAATTGCAGCAGAATAATGTCTAACTTTAAGAATTGATTTCAAAATTGAAGTAAATGTGGCAATGGGAGGTAAAGGCCGATCATTAATCAGCTTATCAAATATGTTTATGAAGCATTCAAAACTAGCTACACTACTTTCAGAGTTACTAATAATAGAATTAGAATGAAACCCATTTGCAGAAATTTTATACAAGAAATGGGTTTTATCAAAATTTCGAAAGTGAAATTGAAAGGTAGAAATTTCTGGGTAAGAGAGAAAGAAAGAAAATTTACCCTTTTTGAGTGACTTTAAACCCAGAATCAAATTGGTTTTGCCCATCTGCAACAGGAGGTGGACGAATTCCTGGAGGTAACTATTTACTGTGTTTTTTTAGGAAAAGAAGAGAAAGCAAGGGAAGGGAAGGGAAGGGAATGGTAAAAAAGGTGTTTTATTTTTCAATATTTGGTTAATTAGGTTAAGTCACCGTGTTATAATTACAGTTTATAATAAATAAATTATAAATAATGGTCTAAATTTAACAATAATTTATTCAAAAATAAGATTTGTAACAAAATAACTTGAATTTATACTAATACCAAATACGTAAAGGTTATTGAATTGGATTGTATAAAATAGTAATAGAAATTAGAAGCTATAAGGTTTTATATAAATGAATAAAAATATTAGCTTTAGTTAGTACCCATATACAAACTCATATACATAATACATTTGCCCTTATATTTTGTTGACATACTTTGACTGGAATTATGAAAATTTAGTTGAATTTATTTTACTTTTGGATAATTAATATTCCGTAATCAATTTTTTTTAAATATATTTTTAGTGAGTAGTACAGGTAATAATAACATAAATGTTTATAGTAATTATATTGAATTTTCCAATATATATGATTTTGTTCGGTTGTTCATATAAAAGTTATACTTCCTCCGTTCTTTTTTTATCGCATCACTTACTACTTTAGGAAGTTTACTTATTATTGCATCATTTCCTTTTTAGGATAAAAAATATCTATGTTCACACTGCAAATACCCAACATACCCTTACTTTTTCACACTTACTTTTTATTTTATCTTACATTACATGGACAATTTTGTATTTTTACGTTTCTCTCTCTTACTTTTTCCCACTACCAAATTTTGCCTCCAAAACCCATATGATGCAATAAAAAAAACGGAGGAAGTATATAATTTTAAGATTTACACAAGGTATGCTACCAAAATATGGATTTTTCTTTTTTAATTAAAATATATTTATTGTCAAATGATAAAAGTTGGAGAAAAAAAATTTGATTATATTATAATAATCTTGGATAATACTCCCTACGTCCCATTATTTCATGCCTGTATTCCTTTTTGGGTGTCCCAAAATACTATGCCTGTTTCTAAAAATAGCTCATAATTATTATTTACTTTTTATCTTTTCCATACAAAATACACATATACCAAAAAAATCATTACTTATTTTTTATCTTTTTCATAAGATATTTTCTACTTTTTTTTTATTCTCATACAATATTCTCTACTTTTTCTCTTTCCAATAGAATATTTCCCTACTTCTACCATTTTCCTTAATTACCGTATTTTTTGAGAAATAGGCACGAAATAATGTTACGAAGGGAGTAATATATTACAATACATTACAATACCTTATTTTTAATCTATGTTAGTATTTTTGTAACTAAAAGTTTCCTAGTATATATAGTAGACTATATGTAAAAAAAATTAATTGAGTATAATTGGATTAAATACGTTGTCAAAATGGATATAAGTATTGTTGTAGGTTATAAAATGGATGTCATTAAAATTTGGCAAAAAAAAAAAAAAAAAAAAAGAAAACAAAGGCGGGGAAATTTTTAACCAGAAAATGACAAGTGTCATTTCTGGTTTCGCCTTTAGTATAAAGTTATTGATTGATTGATATTACAATACATTACAATATCTTATTTTTAAGGAAAAATTGCGAGGAAGGTCCTTTTAAGGAATCAACCTTGTGAAAAAAGTTTTTTTATGAAAAAGGTGGCACAAAAGGCCTTTTATGGACTTTGGGTTGTGATGAGGGTCCTTTGACCAATCTCCGGCGTTGACTTCCAAATTCCGGCCAAAAATAAGTCACGTGCTACTTTAGAATTTTAATATATGCGGCCCATACCACCTTTTTCTCTCTTCCTTTCTCGTACTTTTAATTTACTATTCTGTGTATTTTAATACTAGTGAGGTATTTGCCAAATGTCTCACCACGTTACATTAGTGATTGATTCCCCACTACTCCCATAATGCAATTCTTAATAACCTGGAAAAAAGTTAATACAATACATACAAAACAAATTTTAATAAGCAATTTACTACCTCAATTAATAGCTAAGTTGACCTTCAGAACTATGATACATATTTTATTATCATCGTACATTGAGTAAGGCGCCTATGAGTCTATAACCTATTAACCTATATGAAATCAATTTGATGATACATACAACTATTGAGGTGACCTAGGCAGATTGATTGAAAAATCAATTACTCTCTATGTTTCCTACAAGGCTATAACTACCCCAACTAATTGGTTCATGCACAATGCGCTTTCATGCTAATTGTCAGCCACACTTAAGGAGTGTATTACCCTCCCTGATCAACTACTTAAAAATATTCTTTCATATGAATTATAAAATCTAAAAAGTGTTCATAATACTCGTCTAATAACACACTAAAATGTTCCATAAACTAAACTAAACACAAAAAAATTTCCAATTGATCCTTCATTCTTACTTATTCATTACAAATTTCAATCTTTTGAGATGGTTTCTACCTCTCTATAGGAGAAATAAAGTACTTCACATAGATCCTTGTTAGAACACTACTACTCATTTTGTGTTATTGGGCACTCTTCAATAGATTTTGTTAACAATTTTATTATTTCGGATTAATAATTAAGTTTACTCTATATTAGTAATACTACTCGTATAATGCGATCATCTATAACATTATAATACTAGCTAGAAAATGCTTGGTTGATTATGAAAATTACACAATAATAAGTTCAGGACAGGAGTATAAATACAATCATAATTTCATACTGTGAGGATCGCTAACCCGTAAGATTACCGTATCTATGTCCGAGCATGCGTGAACATCACGCAGAGGAGGTGGGGTTTCGGGATGGTGGAGGAGGGGGGTGGGGTTTCGCGGGTTAGGGGGTCGCGACGGGATAGGGGAGGGGAAGAGGAGGGGTTACCGGCGGCCGCTGCGCGTGGATTGCTAAACATCGCCCGCAAATCTCCACATAAAGCCCACAAATCTATATTGAATTTACCTTATTGCCCTAAACCTAAAATAAAAAAATCTAACCCATACCCACACTCTAATCACCCGAAAATACGGCAATGTTGAGGCGGCAAGGCAAGGACTTGGCGGCCATAGCGGCGGAGGGAAGGACGGCTCACAGTGGCAGGGTTTTTTTTTTTAAAAAAAAATTTTTAAAAAAAAACAGAAGAGGTGGGGCGCCTGGCCAGGACGCCCAGCCCCTGGTGGTGGCGTCTGCTCCGGCCGCCGGAACCAGGGGGCTGGCGTCTGACCTGGACGCCTAGCCACGGTTGTGGCGTTTTCCAGTGGCTGGGCGTCCAGGTCAGATGCCAGGACGCCATAGCCATGGTGGCGGCGTTTGGCCAGGACGCCATAGCCATGGTGGCGGCGTCTGGCCAGGACGCCACAGCCGTAGTGGCTGCGTCCTGGCCAGACGCCACTGCCACGGTTGCGGCGTCCCGGCCAGACGCCACCGCCATGGTGGCGGCGTCCTGACCAGACGCCACCCCTACTTTTCGTAATTTTCCCCCCGAATTATCTCGTTTTCCGGCGACGATGACGGCTCTCCGGTGTCCCGGCGATCCACTCCAGCTCCACATTTTTCGTGAGAGTGAATTACGGTTTCGGTAAAAATTAGAAAAAGGGCAAAAGAGTCAAAGTAAAAATAATTGTGGGCTTTATGTAGAGATTTGTGGGCGATGTTTAACAAATCCCCAGCGCGCCTCCCGATGCTAGCCCCGGCGGCAGGGGGTGGTGGCGGCTAGGGTTTTGAGGTGGGCAGGGGGCTCGACGGGAGGGAGGAGGTGGTGGCTGGCCACCTCTGAGTTTCTTTTTTTAAAAAAAAAAATTTTTGTTGTTCTTTTTAATTTTTTTTATTGCTTTTTTGTTATTTTTTTATTTTTTGTAAATATTTTTGGTTATATTTTTTTTTGTTTAATTTTTTTTTTTTAAAAACAGACCAATCAGAAGGTTACATGTGGTAAGTGGTGGGGTCAACTAACCAGCACTGATGGTCAACTAACGGAAATGACATATGGTGATATTGTACTAAACCTCAGTGACATTTGGTAAATTTTAAAAAACGCGATGGCATTTGGTGAATTTTCTAAGTACTCAGTGACATTTCATGAAATTGCCGTTAATTAATTTACACTTTCCTTTTCTTGGAAACCGAGCTTAATTTTCCGTTATACTATTTGATTATACTCTCTAATTTAGTAATTATGTCGTTGAAAATGGCCAATTTCAATAAAGTAGACAACAAAGAAGAATGTTTGTTCCTCTTCCTCGTCACGTGAGCTTCATTTTCTTCACTTCCTCTGCTTCAGCTTCAGCTTCAACTTCAACCTCAGTTCAGCTACTACTTCAGGTCTTCTCTTTCTCTCTTCTTATTTCCTATTTCTGGTATAAACCCACTTCATTTTTACCAAATTTTTTAAATGGGTTTCCATTTTTAGTCTCAAAGACCTTATCTTTACCTTTGTTTGAAGATTATAATAAATGGGTTGTTAGTTTTTTCTTTTTTTTTTTTTTTTTTTTTTGGGTTTTTTGTTTAATTTGTTGGGACCCATTGAGCTTCCAAGTTTGTTCTTTGAAAATGGAAGCTAAAAAGGGTTTAAAATTTTGCAGATTTTTCCAATTTAGTAGTATTTTATTGCCATTTTTGTTGTATATGTTGTTGTCTTGTTGATATTGGAAAACCCTAGTGTAGTTTCAGCTGTTGATGTTCACCCACAAGATAAAGCTACACTTAGTGAGTTCAAATCAAAGATTATTGACCCTGGCCCGGGTTTGGCTTCATGGCTCGGGTCCAATTGCTCCAATTGGACCGGCATTACCTGTGAAAACCGGACCGGCCGGGTCATTTCAATGGACTTAAGCTCCATGAACTTGTCTGGGAGTATCAGTCATAGTATATGCAACCTATTTTCTCTTCAATCCCTTGTTTTGTCTCATAATAATTTTACTTCTGTGATTCCACCTTGTTTGGGAAGTGTTTTGAGTTTAAGGGTAGTTGATATTAGTCATAATGGTCTTAGAGGGTTGGTTCCTGATTCATTGAGGAGCTTGAAGCATTTGAGGGAGCTTACATTGAATGGTAATAGGTATTTGGGAGGGAAATTTTTCGAGGTTTCTTGAAAGACTTGATTTGGGGTCGAATTCGTTTGGAGGGGAGATACCGGAAAGTCTGTTCCGGTTGGAGTCTCTCAAGTACTTGGACCTTTCGGAGAATGGTTTGTCAGGGAAGCTTGGTGGGTTTCATCAATCTTTGGAGGTCCTCAATCTAGCCTCTAATCGTATATCGGGTACATTGCCTTGTTTTCATGCCTGTGTGCAATCACTTAGCATACTGAACTTGGCAAACAATTCTTTGGTTGGAAGGATTCCTTCTTGTATGTCTTCACTTCGAGCTTTGAGGCAGCTCAATCTGTCCAACAATGGGTTGCAGTATGGGATTTTGCCAATGCTGGTGTTCTCAGATAAGCTTCTTGCTTTGGACTTGAGTCACAATCAGTTGTCAGGTCCGCTTCCTAGCAAAATTGCTGAGACAACAGACAAGTCGGGGCTTCTTGTTCTTGACCTGTCACAACCAATTTTCTGGTAACATACCTCTGAAAATCACGGAGTTGAAAAGTTTACAGGCATTGTTTCTCTCTCACAATTCAATAAATGGGGTTATTCCTGGGAGCATTGGGAATTTGACGTATCTCCAAGTCATCGACCTCTCGTACAACTCTCTAACAGGATCCATTCCTTTGAACATTGTCGGGTGCTTCCAGCTCCTTGCATTGATACTCAGCAACAACGGTCTTTCTGGTGAAATTCAACCAGAGCTTGATGCACTAAATAGTTTGAAGATACTAGATATTAGCAGCAACAAGATCTCTGGTCAAATACCCCAAACCTTAGCCGGATGCAGGTCATTGGAAGTAGTGGATTTCAGCTCTAATAGTCTCTCTGGACCTCTAAATGATGCAATGAACAAATGTTTGAATCTCAAGTTTTTGTCACTTGCTCAAAACAAGTTTGAAGGTACTCTTCCTAATTGGCTCTTTACATTCCCGTCCATCAGAACAATCAATCTTTCAGGGAACAGATTTTCTGGCTTTATACCTGATGGTACCTTCAACGTCAGCAGGAGTTTTAACAATGCAGCTATGGGTGGTATGAATACTGAGGGGAGTTTGGTATCAGTTAAAAGTAAGATCATCCAAATTTCTGTTATGGTAATGGATCGAAATGGGCGGAGTTTTGCTTATGGTCTATCTTCACCCGTGGGAATTGACCTGTCAGATAATCAGCTGAATGGGGAGATACCTGAGAGTCTATTCACTTTACATGGTTTGGATTATCTTATTTTGACCTACAATCTTCTGGTGGGTCAGATTCCTGTGGATTTAGAGAAGATGTGGAATTTATGGGCTATTGATCTGTCTCACAATTATCTTTCTGGCCCTCTTTTGGCCAATATTTCAAGCCTTCAAGAGCTAATAACGCTGAATTTTTCCTACAATTCTCTCTCTGAATTTGTTTGAAGGAAGCAGGGTTACTGGAGATTTCCCGAAGCATTTACTGGGAATCCAGCTTTATGCATTGAGGTATCTGCTCCGGAAAGTGCCAACCTCCACGAATTCCTGCACTTCCTGGAGACAAGTTCAGGGATGATATGGAGGAATGGCCAATGTCAGTGTGGATTTTTTGTGTAACAGCTGCTGTAACCTTCTATGCGACCCTGATCCCTCTCTTTTGTTGGCCCCGATCAAGAAACTATATTCTTAGGTCAAAAAATTTAGGTGCATTGTACAGAGAGCAAAACTTTTGTATATCTGTTTGGTTTCATATGACTTTGATTTGTCCTCCAAAGAGGAAAGCAAGTCATGTTTTTATTGATACAGTTTTAGCTTTAAGCTAACTTTAACTTAGCTTGAATTTCCATGTTTGAAAGTCTCATGTATAGTGGATGATGAGACAAATGGACAATGGTATTCCCTCTAGTTAATATGCACCAATGCAGTATATGCCACATTTGATTGATTAGGTTTATAAAGAAGTTCAATAAAAAATTTTGTTACCGAACTTCTAGTAAAGTGTATATTGAAGGTAATATTGGAAATTAACTTACCAAATACAGAAAGTAAACTTAGTTCAGGACTACTTAAAACAGAAACGTGGCATATTGAGCGACAAAAGGAATATAACTTGTATCTCATGACTGATAAACCTGTGAATTTACACTCTTTGAGCTTTTGCAAAATTGCATACATTCTGAAGATTACTGAATTATTACGAGGCATAATTGCTGAGATTCAAGACATCAGGTTCAAGCATGCCCTTGGGGCTAAGGTAACTCAAGGAAGCTAAATCAGTTCCTAGACTAACACAAGCCTAATGCTTCCCTACAAGGCCACCCCTAAATAGCCCAAAATTAACATTCAAATTGACGAAAGAATGAGATTGTGTGACCAGTCATATATGCAGATCACAGGAACAGGCACAGATGACTTGGTTGCAAGCGTGGCTACCCAAATGAACAAGAAACTACATTATTCTTAACTTTGATTCCAATCCTTCATGACGATTATCAAAGCTGTGTAAAGGTAGCATCTTTAAAAATAGGAGCGGGACTTCAAGCAATCTTCAGTCCATTCTCATTTCTAAGAATTCTGGTTACCTTGCACTGTTCTATTTGCAGAGCACCCCATCTTATACAGACCAATCCCACAATGGCCAGCATCTTCTCTAACAGACAATACCCCTTTTTTTTTATGCTTTGACATACCTAGTAACAAACTTGTGTTTTCCAAAAAGCCTTTGCTAATATTTGATCGGTCCTTCCAAACTCCCTGATGCAAACTGGACAAACAGCAACAAAATTAATGTATTATTTAAGCAATGTACAACCTAGGTGATACATGAACTTGCCATTGCAAATATTTTGCTTTGTAGTAGTTATCAGTCTCACTCGTCTCAACTGCAGTTGATGAGTAAGAATAAACTTCAAACTACAGCTATGGTAAATACCTGCTGAACAATGGGGCTAGTTGAGGAAGTAAATTCATGTGTCAGTCCTTCCCAAACAATTTTCCCCTCGTATAAGAAAATCAGCCTGGACCAATAAAGATTATCAGAGATACGATGAACTGAAACTCTAATCACATGCATCATATTTAAATGAAAAAGACATTTACCTATCAACTGCTCTTTGGATAGTACTGTGTTGGTGAGTTACAACTATATATGATGCAGTCTTCCCAGCCAATCCAACAACATCTTCACCTTTAATATGAACAGAACAGATCAGCTCTTCAACAACAGTTGATGCAATTGGATCAAGTCCAGCTGTTGGTTCATCATACAAAACCACCTGCCCCAATAAAAGAAACAAAGCAACCACTTAGCCAGAAATGACAATTTTCTATTCACACTAATACAACTGACTTTAAAGTGGCGAAATAGAAGACAATAATATAATAATAGAATTGACATTGCATGCTTGGCAAACAAAGCTGGTCAACATAAACAAACTACTTCTGTTTATCATAATGTGAAATCCAATCACATAGAAGCATTATTGCTAAAATCTAGGTTGCGTACTCCCACTTGATCAAGCAACCTAAACAAGAAAAATGAGTAATCAAAAGAAAACTAAATATATCTCGATTGTTTGGTGCAGCAGCAGAAGCTTAAGTAAAAACCAACCATGTCTACTAGAGACATACAAGCAGTCTTAAACAGCTCCAAGAAATTTCCACCATATCACACTATAATCTCATACATTGAAACAGGTTCTTTCTTATTTTCTCATCTCCATATTTTGAGGGACACAAAAAGTGGGAAACACTGTCTGTAGATGCTCTTCTGGTATTTTCCAAGAACAAAAAGAGCATCAACCCCCCCCCCCCCCCTTCCCTCCCCTTATAATTTTTTGACATATGGAGTGAGTACTAACCCAAGAAACTCATTGTGGAGGAAAAATAGATTCAAGTTGTAGTGTCATAATGAGTACAAGATTAGAACGATTTGACTAAAATAATTTAAAAAGAGTAAGTGAATATAATTGTTTTTTTTATTTTTTTTTATGTTCGTGTATATGATGTTGTACTCGACTATTCGTATTGCTTCAAATGATATAAGACTCATGAAGTACTGAGGTTGAGTTCTTGGGTATATACGGATTACGGAGTACTTTGTATTTGATATTTCTATCTACTCTAAGGCTGAAGACGAAATAGACGAGCAGTACTAGCTGTTTCGGATGAAAACAATGGGACCTTGCCGAAGGTCCGATGAAACAGGGAAGACTAGATTCGGTCCAAGTAATGTTGGGCCGAAGGTTTCCTGCACAGTAAACACACGTAAACTAGCCTCGGGGGTGTTGCCGAGGAAGGCCCCTCCGATGCTAAAGTCATTACAATGTGTAGAAAGAGAACACTATGCAAGAGAATTTGTTGCTTGAGGCTTTGCTTGAATGAATGAGTATCTATCAGAATGTAATATTGATGGCTTTTATACCTCTTCATACATGGAGAAGTTGGGCCTTAGCCCAATTGGTTTGCCTTGAGGGCTGATCTTTGACTTTAGCACAATTGGAGAGATGAACCTTGACCTTGGGCTTTTAATTGGATCATTTAATGCCTAAGCCCAATTGGACTAAATTGGACCCAAACAACTTGCCCCCCAGACCCGATTTGGAAGGATGACGGGTCGGGTTTGATTTAACCAGAAAAGGAGGGAAGTGAATGATTTAATTAATCCAAAAATTTGAATTTAAACCGTAATTAATGAGATAACAACGGTTAAGGCGGATGATTGTGGAAGTTGGACGGATAATGGGCAGTTTAATCGCAAGGTCGTGTGTTTAACGGTTACTTAGTGGGGTATTTAAGAGAAATTGAAACGCGGACTCCCCGCATTCCCATTTCTGGAGATATAATCAGAGGCGCGTCATCTCTCCTCACTTATTCACCAACACAAACCCAGAATTCTCGAGAGAACCCAAGAACCCGCATCAAAACTTCGCAAATTCCCCGAGCATTAAGCTTAGAAACTGAGACTTGCCACTACGAACTCGTAAATCGGCAACTTTCGCTTCAGATTAAGGTAAATTCCTTTGATTTTAGTTTATTTTTCTTCGAATTCGAACTCCTTCCCTTTCTTTTCGACTTTTTTCTTCGAAAAATTATCAATGGCAAGAGGAGTTAGAGGTAGAGCCCGTGCTCCAAGAAGAGCAAGGCCAATTCCCGATCCTAGGAACAGGATTGGGACCTGGAATGGACAAAGGCCAGAGTCTGACCCTGCTGAAGGGATTAGGGCGACCCCAATTTCCTCGGCTCCTCCTCAGAGAACGGAGGGACCGAGCGCTTCTGGGCGGGACGATGAAGTTCCCGTTGTCCTTTGGGATATCCTCCCCGGGTTTTCAGAGTGGGAGAATGCCGAAGTAGCTTCGGCCATGATAAAGAACCGCCCCTACTCATGGTGGGTGGAGAATGCCGAACAATATCGGTTTGCCGAGCAAATTGAGTTACATTACAGCATTTTTGAAGCTGATGGGTATTGGTGCCGAATGCCCGCGGCATCCGATAGAATCCATCGTCCACCCCCGGGGTATGTGGGGGTGTACACAAGACAGCTTCAGTATGGGCTGAGGTTCCCTTTGGACGTATTCGTCCGAGACTTGCTGATCCATTACAATATTTCCCTATGTCAGCTAACTCCCACTAGCATCCGAAGGGTGATGACATACTTATGGGTCTGCAAGTTCTTCAAGTATGTGCCGAACCTGCACTGCTTCAAAAAGCTTCATCGGCTAGTGCCAAATATTCAAAGTGGGCACGGAAGCCATGGTTCTGGGTGGTACCAGATTGAGTCTCGGCCCCAGTTCCTAACCATGTGGCCGAACGACTCTTCAGACAAGGACTGGAGAGGTCAATGGATTTGGGTTAGGGCACCCACGGACCCGGGCCACCCTTGCGTCTTCAGCGCTCCCCGGTACCTCGCTGAGCCTGATCCCGACATGGGAAGTCTAGGTCCCCCCCGCAGATGACGGCTCAGATCCAAACCTTAATCAACATAATATCTTCGGCAAGCTGCCGAACCGGGGGGGCAGCGGCCGAATGCAGCATATCCCGGAGACTTGGCTCCCCGATACGCATTATGTTTTCCAAGAGAACATGCTAGCAGCTGTTGGCCTCAGCCGAAAGTTTAAGGATGGTAAGCTTCTTCGGCTGGGGCCGAGGCTTTTTAATTATCTCTTTTTCTCCTCACTTCGCTTTTTTATGCTGTGCCAACCTAACTGAACTGACCTTTCCCCTTTTTTTTTTTCAGAGCGGGACGAGACCAACATTGGCATTAACTACGCTCGTCTTGGCGTCAACCGAGAACGAGTTGTAACTGATCGGGCCCCCTCTATTACTGAACCGAGACATAGGGAAGTTCATCTAGACTCTTCCCACTTCCAAATTGAGGTTGTTGCTCTGTATCAGAGGCAGAAGTCTTGGTGGAAGAAGAGAGATCCCTGGTTTCAGCTGCTGGACGAAGAAGCTGAAGCTGCCCGTACGGCCGAAGAGGTTGCACGGGTTATCGAAGCTTGTGAAGGAGGAGAAGGGTTCTCCAGGGCTGCTGAAGAAGAAGCTGCAGCTAGGGCATCTGAAGAAGACGAGGCTTTGCTGAAGACCTCGGTGAGCTTTCAGACTTAACTTTGTCTTTTTTTTTTTTTTTTCTTTTTGTACTCACATTCTTCCTCCCCCCTGTCTTTTACAGTCTGAAGAGAGTAACAGACACAGAGAAGGGAAAGCCCCTGTTCGTCCCGAAGACCAGATACAAGAAGAGTCTTCAGACTCAGACATGGACGAACAACCGCTTCAGAAAAGGCGCCGAAGAATGGCCATCATCGGCCCGCATGACTTTCAGCGGAGGCCGATGACCATCGGCGTTGAAATAAGGGAACCCGAGGAAGGCAATGGATCGCCGAGGGTTCCCCGGCCACAACCTCAATCACCTCAAAAGACCCCTCCGCCACCTCCCGAGATGGAGGTGGATCAGAAAACTCCCGAATCTAAGGGAGGGGTCCAAGAAGAAGTTCAGGAGAGTGCTGCTGAGCACAAGAATAAGGATGTCGTGATGCCCAGTGCTGAGAGTTTCACGGCAGACATTGCAAGAGAGGTTGAGGCTTTCGTCCTCACCCCTGAAGAAGAAGAGGTCATAGTAATTGACTCTTCTGAGAAGGATGATGCTGAGCCATCCAAAGCTAAAGAAGCTCCGTCATCATCATTTCCTTCCTTCCAGACTCTGCAATCTGGAGAAATGGGTTTCTCGGCCCCCCGAATTCCAATCCCAGATCACATCTGGGACCTCATATGGGGTCAGAACCGAGAAGGTGCTGCAGCCTACTTCGGCGATTTTGCTGGTACGTCCGAAGTAGATAGGGCAAGAATCTGGTCGCTGAAGGCCACTGTTGGGATGGGCGAATCCAGCAGATCAGTTCCTGACCCAGCCAGGTCTAACCAACTGCTGATGATAGGGGTGTCAACGGGGCGGGGCGGGGCGGATTTTGGCATTCCCATCCCCATCCCCGCCTCACATTTTCATCCCCATCCCCATCCCCATCCCCATGTCGGGTCTGAAAATAATCCCCGTCCCCGCCCCGGCGGGTCCAACTCTAAAACCACCCCCGCCCCATCCCCGTCCCCGCCCCATACCCGCCAAACCCCCACCCCATACCCGCCAAACCCCCGCCCCATCCCCGCCAATTCCCCGCCCCATACCCGCCAACTTAGTATTGAGAAAAGCAACTGTCTTTCAAGTTTCAAGTGTCAACTGAAACCCTGCAGACTTCATAGTAGACTAATGAAAAAGTAGCAGTGCATACAAATCCCATTAACTCAAATCCAACAAAAACCACTGCAAGATCAACCATTTTAAAAATAACCATTTTAAAAAAAAAAAAAATAACTCCAAATTGTCCAAAGTCCAAATATTAAAAATAACTACAAGTCTACAAATATTCAAATACATAACAAGAAATTCATTAGGCCTTGAATTATTCGGTGCAAAGTCCACTTGTTCCAGAATCGATATCACATGTTTCAAATCCTTCCTCTAATTCTCCCACTAATTTAGCATATTCATCATCCTTAAATTCTCCACAATCTGCAAATACAATGTGAATTAATTAAAATAAATAAATAAATAATATTATTAATTAAATAAAATTTTATTTTAGCTATTTACTTTTAGAAGCAGCCCATATCCAATTTTGAGTACACATCAAAGCTTCTACAGCTTCCGGTAAAAGCCGACTACGATAAGGATTAAGAACCCGACCACTTGTGCTAAATGCGGACTCTGATGCAACAGTAGAAACAGGAATGCTCAATATATCTCGTGCTATTTGCTGAAGAATGGGATATGTGCCTCCATTTGTCTTCCACCAGTTAAGAATATCAAAATCTTGGACTAGAGGCACATTAGCAGCATCTAAATACTTATCCAAATCTGATATATCATGACTTGAGTCCTTATCTTGTTGTAAAAATTCAGCAAATTCTTGCATAAAGGTCTCTTCATTGGATTTGCTACTACTACCCAAATCAAAATCTTGTTGGTTGCTACTACCTTGAGTTTTACCCATCTTAGACCCATATTCATCAACCAATCTTCGTAGAAGATCACTAATTCTACGAACCTCAATTTCAAAGTCATGCTCATCAAAAATTTTTGCAAAATAAAAGCGAATAAGAGCCATTTTGTATCTAGGATCTAGTATTGTTGCCACTCCCATTAAGCCATTCACACTAGCCCAATACTTGTTATATTTTTGTAACATAATGTCGGCCATTTTCCTTACATAATCATGAGGAGATAAAAGCCAACCAGAAATAGCAATTCTCAAAGCACAAATTTTAGGAAAATAAAGATTGGCCGTAGGGTAATTTGTTCCTGAAAAACTAAGGGTAGTTTTACTAAACACTTCCAAATGTTCACATATTTTCTCAACTTTTTCCCAATCTTCAGGGGTCGGTGGATTCTTATATAAATTATTACGAGCACTTAAAACAACAAACACTTCTTTATAACTAGTAGCAATAGAAAGCATTTCATAAGTAGAATTCCACCGGGTTTTGCAATCAAGTGCTAACTTTCTACTACACTCAGGAGTTATTTGCTTAGCCACTTGTTCAAACCTTTGTACTCTCTTATCAGAAGCAGTCCAAAACACAACACTATCCCTAATTCTTTGAACACCATTTGATACCACAACACTTAAACCATCTTGAACAATCAAATTTAATATGTGAGCACAACAACGCATATGAAAAAAATCACCTCGCAATAAAAGTGAGCCATATGGAAACACTCCTTTCAAAATTTCCATCATTGCATCATTAGTTGAACAATTATCCACGGTTATAGAAGACAACCTAAGATCAAGATTCCATGATTGAATGCTTTCTTTCAAAGCATCAGCAAGAACCTCAGCAGTATGAGGGGCGGGGACATATAAAAACCTACCAAAACCAATGAAAATAACATATATTATTTGTCTATTCAATACTATTGTGGATATATGGGCTCATTATTATCATCCATCATCACAACTTATAATTCTTATGATTTTAAAATTCACACAAAAAACTATAGCAATACAAAGACAACCAAAAAAAAATAAACAAGTTATAAGTAACCAGAAAACAATACCTTATGATCCGACTTTGCAACTTCCATGTATTATCAATAAAATGTGAGGTGACCGCCATATAACCTTTTCTCTGGTTGTCAGCTGTCCACATGTCAGTAGTTAAGGCAATCTTACCCTTTGCTTTCCTCAACAAGGTTGCAACATTCTCCTTCTCAAGCTCATATCTTTTCATAATATCTTTTCTAGTTGTGTTGCGAGACGGCACTTTAAATCCAGGTTGGAGTGTCTTGCTATATTTTCTAAAACCAATATGCTCAACCATGCTAATTGGATACTCATGCAAAATAATCATCTCTGCCAAGTCTCTTCTTCCATCTTCTTGGTGGAATTCGTAAGGAGCCAATGTCATCGTGTCATTCTTATCATTCAAGTTTTTTTTTGTACCAAACATTCTTGTTTGTCGAAGATCTTAACCACCAAAATCAGCACCTGATTATCCATCCACATTTTCATTACCCCAACTCAATTTGCATACATTGTGATCAATTTCATCAATATTGAGTACTACTTAAATTACAGTATAACAACAATAGTATGATACTATGATAATAGTTTGAAATTCATTTCTCACGCTTTTATACAATCTTTTAGTTGCTTATACACAACTCCCTCACCTGTACATATGCTGCTAGAAGAGACAGAGAATCTCTTGCTACTCTGCAGGGTCACATCAAAGTATCAAACTTCCATACATTCTTCCAAATTCTCAGATCCAAGTATCCAACAATGACCCAAGTCACCCAACCATACCATTAACTGATTTTCTGAAGAAAAGAAATAAGTGTTACCCCAACTTCACTATATAATTTCCAGATTTGTCGTATCACCATACAAACATATCAACTAGTTGTGCAATGCTAGCAGAATACCCAAGATTTCATTGGACTCAAATGACTGAAAATTTCCGCGTACCACTCTTTCATCCCACCCACTTCCATCCGGCTCCCCAAAATTACACAGTTAACATATGGAAGTAATGGAACCATCCGTGGCCAGATTTATGTTTTGATAGTATAGCATACTATTCTTGCTTATTCTTAAAATTAAACATGTAGCATGAAGCATCCTTTGGGACTTCTATGATAATAGTTTGAAATTCATTTCTCACGCTTTTATACAATCTCAATAACAAAGAATACAACAAAATTTGAAGAAAATTCTTACCTGGGTTATTTAACAATTCTCAATAGAAATTGCTCCAACTTCCCCCAATGAGTCTGAAATTAGTCTGAAATTGCTCCAACATAATCCGAATTTAGTTATCACACATAAGCTAAAATAATAAACATAAACTTATAAGTCTGAAATTAATGAGAAAAACTAATTACAATCTATACATATTTCGACTTTATTATATCTATTTTGTGAAATTAAATATAAAAAAACAAGTAATGAAAATTCTAGATTAAAACCCTAATAAACTAAAAAATTTAGAGGTCATCATATTCATACATTATCATACAAAAAATAACAGTAATCAACTACATTGCATTAGATTGAAAGTATCATACAAATATAACACGAAACCCTAGCTCAATCAAATGAAATATTGAAAACCGCAATCGAACAAATCATAAATAAAAGACGAATCACATACTTTCAATCGAAAACCCAATTAAGAAATTCTTAATTGAACATATTGAATTAAGAAAATTCAAAGATAATAATGCGAAAACGTTTACCTAAATTGAATGAGTTGCAGCCTTGCAAGATCGAGGTTGAAGAAGAAGGATCGAAGAGATTTGATTGCAGACGAGGACCACGAGGTTGAAGAAGAAGGATCGAAGAGAGGGGTTTGAGGCTTGAGGAAGAGATTCAGCGCAGTGAGCTGTGAGACTGTGAGTCTGTGAGAGGAGAGAGTGAGGCAGTGAGAGGCTAGGGTTTTTGTTTTGTGAATGACTGAATGAGGGTGGGTATTGGGTAAGTGGGTTATTGGGTTAGATTTCATTAGGTGTAGTTTTTTTTTTTTTTTTTTTTAATCGTATTATGCAGTCGGGTCTTATGCGGGTATGGGGTGGGTATAAAGCGGGTATGGGTCGGGTATGGAGTGGGTCAGGCGGGGCGGGGCGGGTACGGGGTGGGTCAGGCGGGGCGGGGCGGGGCGGGTATGGGGCGGGTCTGGGCGGGGCGGGTATTACATAACAACCATCCCCGCCCCATCACCCATGGCGGGTATGGAGTTTAGACCCATCCCCGCCCCGCGACCCGCCAAAGCTAGACCCATCCCCGCCCCATCGGGGCGGGGATGGGGCGGGTCTCCTACTAGACCCGCCCCAGTGACATCCCTAGCTGATGATGCAGGTGACTTTCCTTGCCTTTATTTCCTCTAAAATTCAGCTCTATTTTTTTTTTTTTTTTTTTTTTTTAAACTTGTGCTCCTATTTTCAGTTCGTGCACAATCAGACTCTTACTGTAGAGCTGATAGATACCCTACAAGATAGGGTAGACGCTGCCGAGCACGACAAGAAGGTAGCCGAAGAGGAGTTAAAGCTTGCTAAGCTGAGGCAAGCAACAGCTCAAGAGAAGCAGCAGAAGGGTGAGGAATACGAGAAAAAGGCTGCTGAAGCCTTCAAAACCTTCTGCGACGCTATGGAGAAGGAAGTTTTTCCCCCGCTGATGGAAGGGGAAAAATTCCTCCAAGAGCACATGGGAGTGGACGTCTCCAAATTCAAGGCTGCCATTGAGAGCCGAATCCAGGAAGGAGCTGCTGCACAAGCTGAAGTGCAGCAACGGCTAGAAGCTCTTGAAGCCAGCAGAATGGTTGCTGAAGAGCTGCTCCAAGCCAGGGATGTCCAACTCTCAGAGGCTGCTGCTGCTGCTGAAGCTCAGAGAGCTAAGCTCCAAGAGGCTGAGGATCAGCTGATGGCCAAAAGGGGAGAAGTGGCCCAGGCTCAGACAGAGGCTTCCCAAGTTCAGCAGGAGCTGAATGAGCTGAAAGGTTCCTCCTCCAAGCTCGCCGATGAGCTGAAGAAATCCAAGGAAGACTTGGAGGAGACCCAGAAGAAGTTGGTTGATGCTGAGGCTCTACTCAAAGTCCGTGTCTATACCCAGGAAGAATATGAAA